GATATTATGGCCCGTCTGAGTCCTGGCGATATTTGAAGACGTGGGTGTGGAGAGGATGTCCAACCGAGGCTGCCAAGAGAGAAGAGCAAAGAGCCTCTGGTCTCGACTCGAGAACCTCCAGCTCCTCGTGTCCAGGTAGAACAGGGTGAATCCGTAAAGGAGTTAGAGAAAGGACAGATGGAAAAGTGGGAGGAAAACCAGGTGAGTGCTGTGCTATGACAACTAAGAGAAAGCGTGTTTTGTGATGAAGCAAGTAAGCAGTTGACAGTGGCAGAGGCTGCTGACGGGTCAGGTAAGGTGAAAACAGAAAATATACTCATTGATACTCCCAACACCAGGGGTACTGAGTGGGATGGACTGAGCTCAGTTCAGTTCAGTCGCTCAGTCATGTCCGACTCTTTGCGACCCCATGGACTGCAACACGCCAGGCTTCCCTGTCCATCACCAACTCCCGGAGCTTACTCAAACTCGTGTCCATCGAGTCAGTGATACCATCCAACCATCTCATCCTCTGTCGTCCCTTCTCCTGCCTTCAATCTTGCCCAGCATCAGGGTCTTTTCCAGTGAGTCAGTTCTCTGCATCAGATGGCCAAGGTATTGGAGCTTCAGCCTCAGCATCAGTCCTTCCAATAAATATTCAGGACTGACTTCCCTTTGGATGGACTGGTTTGATCCTCTTGGAGAAATGAAGCACCTAGTGAGAAATGTGGAAGAGTTGGTGTTTTCATCTGGTTGTTGTTTCTTGAAGAGGTCATAGTGATGTGTGTAAAAGTGTTCGGGAAGGATCCGTTTGAGAGCCTTAAGGAGAGGAAAGAATACAGGAAAGAGAAGGGATGATCAGGGCATAATGTACTTGAGAGGAAAGGAGGAAATCTGAAACCTGGAGGGAGGCATTACTTTAATGGGAGGACAGAATTGTAAGGGTGTGTGTGTGTGTGTGTGTGTGTGTGTGTGTGTGTTGTATATGCATGCACGTGCACTTATTTCCCCTCCTGATGGCTTTAACTTGTCCTTAAGGTCAGAGGAAAGGTTGCCTGCTCAGAGCGAAAGTTTGAGGGTGGTGGAAGTTTCACAACCTTCATATATGTGGGAGGGTGGGTTGACCAGAGACCTCCAGGCAACACTAAGGGTAAATTCCAGGTTGGTGATGGCAAATTCCAGGATTTTTTAGGTCGTGCTATTGCCTGACTTTTCCTGACAGTGCTAGTGAATGGGTATAAACACAGAAAGTGAAATTCTCTCAGTCGTGTCCAACTCTTTGTGACGCCATGGACTATACAGTCCATGGAATTGTCCAGGCCAGAATACTGGAGTGGGTAGCCTTTTCCTTCTCCAGGGGATCTTCCCAACCCAGGGATCGAACCCAGGTCTCCCACACTGCAGGTGGATTCTCTACCAGCTGAGCCACAAGGGAAACCCAAGAATACTGGAGTCGGTAGCCTATCCCTTCTCCAGTGGATCTTCCTGACCCAGGAATCGAACTGGGGTCTCCTGCATTGCAGGCAGATTCTTTACCAGCTGAGCCACAAGGGAAACCCAAGAATACTGGAGTGGGTAGCCTATCCCTTCTCCAGCAGATCATCCTGACCCAGGAATTGAATCGGGCTGTCCTGCATTGCAGGCAGATTCTTTACCAACTGAGCTAACTGGCTTATAGGTGTAAACAAAAACAATTTTATTTTAT